GCCGGCCGGGCCGGGGCCGCGGCGTGAGGAGGCGTCGGCTGCCGAGCCCGGAGCGCGGGCGCGAGCGAGCGAGCGGGTGAGTGTCGGCGGCGGCGGGAGGGAGCGGGCAGGGAAGCCAGGAAAGGAGGGAGAGGGAAGGCGGCCCGGGCCCGCGGGAGCCCAGGCCGTCGCGTCCGGGACCCGCGCGGCGCCCTGAGGGCCTGGAGGCCCGACCTCCCGCCGGGCGCGGGGGGCGCGAGGACCCCGGTGTGGGGACACCGAAGCGGGGAGGCTGTGGCGTGCGGGACCTCCGGCCGGGCGGTGGCCCGAGGTGACGCGCTGGCCTCCGAATTCGTGCCCCAAATGCCGACTTCCGAAATTCATTGTTCGCGGCCAGGTTGTGGAGGACCCCCCTCCCCCAATGACAAGTGTCGCCGCGTCGGTCCAGGGCCGGGGACAGGTGCTGGCCGACCCCCACTCGGGAAAGCGCGGGAAGGGGCTGCTGAGAAGTGGTGGCCGCGTCCCTGTCCTGCCCTGCGGGACGTCGCACCAGCCGGCTGCTCGGGTGGGCGAGGGGCCCAAGGGCGGGTGTGGCCCGAGGTCTCCATCCTGTTGTACTGGGAGGTCCCCAGCTTCCCCTTCATCCACCCTGCATCCTTTCCAGTCAGTGGCCAGGCTGAGGGGCCGGGGGTGGGGAGAGGGAAACTTTAGGATCCCCTCCCCCAGGTGCAGGAATCCTGTCCCCTCCATGCTAAATGGACCTTCCAAGTAAACCGTGCGTGTGCACAGAGGCCATTTCAAGGCAAGTCCTCTAGCTTTGTCCGCTTTCCAGCTGACTTATGTTCTGCTTGGAAATCCTAGATTTCTCATCCTCCTCTCTGCCCTATCTCTGAAATGTAGTTTCTTCAAAGGAGACCTCCATGAGCATCTGTCTTTATCCCCTGCCCCCACCTGAGAGTCACCAGAGCTGACAGGGTGGCCCCCCCCCACCTTGTGGGAGGAAAGTCGCAGATGCTCCCCTTCTTTGCCTGCTGCCCAACTTGGACTCCTTTCTCAGCTTAGAGACCCCGCTGTGCTTTATCTGTGCCGCTCTTATCACTGGCTGTCTGCCTTATTTTATAGTTACTTTTGTGCCTGGTTTATCTCTCCCTGGATTGTGAGCTCCTAGCTTGGAAATTGAGTCATCTCTGGCCCCAGCCCTGATCGGCATCTGTGTGGAGTGGCCCCTCTGAGGCTTGTTTCCCAGACCCTCGTCTGGTTCCGGGACCCCAGTTTGGTTCTGGACTGTTTCCTTCTGTTAAGAGACTATTTTGGGGCCGGGGATTTAGCTCAGTGGTTTTGGCTGCCTGCTGCGCAAGCGCGAGGACCCGAGTTCGATCCCCGGTACCCCCCCGCAAAAAAAGAGAGACTATTTTGTGCTGCCCAGGCCTTGGCCACTGCAGAGAAGCACAGTGAGTTAGGAAGTGCCATTCCTGTAGGCAGTGACTTGCCAAATGACTAGCATAGCACAGCCTCTGCTGTGAGTTGGCCAGGCCCTGCCTGTCGGTTCCCCAGCGGTGTGTATAGAACGGGCCATCTCTCTTCTGGCTTCCCCTGGCTGCTAGTGCTCTGGAAACACCAAGGTGGGAACCAAGAGGCTTGGGTTCCATGCCTGGCTTTGCACTAACTTGCTGTGTGAGCTTATTCAAGTCACTTGGTATTTCTTGTTTTTGTTGGTGCTAAGTTGCCCAGGTAACAGTAGGGCTCAAATTTCACAGTGCTCCTGCCTCAGCCTACCAGAATGCTGGAATTACAGGCCACTTGCTGTTTCTTGGTCTTGGTGGCTCCTATGGAATTTGCAAGAAAGTTCCTTTGTATATACAGGGTCCTTGGGGATCTGGGTCAGGTTTGCCCTACCTGTCTCTCCCTGGCCTTGACATTCCTCATACTCAGCTCCTGCCCTCCAGGCTCCCTGGAGGCTATTCAAGGTGTGGGTGCTCTGTGCCTTCCCCTTGCACCGTGTCTTCTCTTCACTGGTGGGGACCCAGCTTATTTTCCCTGGTGGAGTCAGTCTGCTCTGCTTTGTGCCACCTCCATCCAACTCGCCACACAGAATGGCACATCTGCTCCCATGTGCCTCTGGGCCAGGCTGAGCTCCAGGGCCTTGTACACTGTAGTAGACAGTTGGGAAATTCGAAGGGCGGCCTGGATGACCCCTGTGAGCACATGGCCGCTATCCATGGCTGTACATCCTCTCTGTCTGGAGCCCTACTTTAAACACTAGGCAGGTGTCCTCCCAACCAGCCCATCCAGTTAAGGAGAACCAACTTGGTTTTTGAGACGAGGCAATCGTAGAGGATATGTGGTTAGTTTAGAGTTTTGAAGAGCAAATGTCTGGTGCTTCAAGATTACCACCTTGCTGTTTTAGGAAAAGATGCTTGGGGCCTTGTGCCTGTGTATGAGAGGATAGTGATCGCGCTGTACTCTGGTGTCTTTTGTCATAGGCAGGACTGGCTGGTGGGTTGTTTTTTTGTTTTGTTTTGTTCTGGGGGGGGGCGGTTTTGGTACTGAGGATTGAACGCCGGACCTTATGCTTTTGAGGCAGGTGGTGGAACCACTGAGCTAAATCCCCAGCCCTTTTTTTTTGAGAAAGGGTCTCACATATAGTTCAGGCTGGCCTTGAACTCGCTATGTAGCCAGGCTGGCTTTGAACTCATAGCAGTCCTCCTGCCTCAGCCTCCCAAGCACTGAGACTACAGGCATGCACCACCATGCCCAGCAGGCTGCTGTCTGTGACTAGCTGGTCAATCCAGAGTGAGCCGTCAGGTGCCTGTATCTTACTTCTCAGCTTTACTAGGATGAGATCAGTCCCTTTGCAGACAGCCACTAAATGGGGCCCCTGCCTTCAGACACAGGCAGCCGTGTGGTCTTTGCTCAGCTTCTCCTCGGGTCATTTGGCTGATGTTTATTAAGCTTTCCTAGGAACCCTGGGAAGTTGTCAAATACAGCCATAGCAAATCCTTGCTTTGTTTGCTGTAAAACCATAAACTGAGGTATTGCCCCCTTTGCTAAAGCTTCTTAAAGTACTTTGTAACAAACATTTCTTTTAGAGTTTAAGGCCAAGCAAACTTTGCTTCCCTGGGAAACTAGGTTGCATTTTCCTTTACAAATGAGAAAGAAAATGGGGAAGGAAGACAGGTATTGTTTGCATATTCTGCAAGTGTGCACATGGGGCCAGGACATTCCTTTCGGAGTAGTTGGTATTTTTCCCCATTTTCCCCAAGAAATAAGTTGAGACACAGGGAGGACAGCTGAATTAGCTAGGGTCTGTCTGGATTTGTCCTCATTTCTCTCTGATTCTTTCTATCCCACACTTTCCAAATGATTTTGATTTCTTTCTTCTCCTTGGTTTCCAGGATGCTTAGCATTCAATGTGATGTTTACCCTGTATGGCAACCATATTCACTTCCTCTCATGGTCAGCA